AAGTTAAATTTTAAATTTTTGGGGGGAAAAAACTTTTTTTTTTTTTTTTTTTGGAGTAGTAATTTTTTAAAGTTTTTGTTTAAAAAAAAAAAAAAAAGAAAGAAGAAGTTTTGAGCTTACGGATAATATTATTTTATTAAAGAATAAGTTATTGAAAATAAAGAAAGAAAAAAAATGCATTTAATTTCATTTCACGGGGTCATTAAAACATTTAAAAAATTGCTCGCAATACAATTGAAGACACATTGAAGAGATTCAATTGGTCAGTCATTAGGTCCATCATGACATAATGAGCGGGAGTCTTTGTGTTTTAGCCTATCAAAAACACCCATTAACCAAAGCAAGAATGGCCCAAGCCCAATGTATCTCATATCCACTGAAAGAGCTCAAGCCCTGTCAAATAAAAAAAAATGCTAAATCCATCAATGACCACGCTAACTTCAAAGTTCAAACAACGTCATATTGGTCAGGCTACCTAACTTCATCCTTGATATCATTGACTATTCAATTTTATTTTATTTCATCATGGCCATCCAACTTCATACTTGGTGTCATATCAACCACCCAATTTTCAGCAATGTGCACATTTGCCATTGCATTTTTGCAAGTTGCAAATATGCCCCTCAAGTTTCTATGATGTGCAAATTGATCCTAGAATTTCAATATTGGGCAAAAGAGTCCCTTACATTTCTAATTGTCACATTTCTGTCTCCGAAATTTATATCGGGTGCATACTGGTCCTCGAGGTTTCTACAATATTCAAACATGCCCTATATACTTTTAGATTGTTGAAAAAGGTCCCTATATTTCAGAGTTAATTGATGTCTTTTAGTTGCAATGTGTGAAATATAAATTTTTAAATCACATTATAAAAGAAACTTCAATTTTTGAGATATATACCCGTTGTTTGGGTTATTTTTTATTTGCTAAAATTAGAAGTCGGTAGCAATGAGTGGTGGTTAAATGTGTAGTACCCCGGGATCGTATTTTTAAAATTAATTTTCAAAAAAAAAAAAAAAACGAGAACAAAGGCTTATCATGTTCTTTCTCATTGACGTTCCCATTATGTGTTGGAGTAAGAATACTATCGTTCCCATTATGTGTTGGAGTAAGAATACTATTTTATTATACATTATAGACCCACCTGACGTTCAATCAAATGCAAAATAATGGCATCAACCGACAAGATGACTCATTTTTTCACCAATATCAACAGGTTGAAGATAAGCTATATGAACCCCATTAAACATATATATAATGCAACATCGTGATAAGACATTAATATTTCTAATTATCTCTAAATATACAGCCAAATCATTCAGAAATCAGCGTGTATATAATGTTTCTATTCCTGCTTGCATTCAACGCCACCAATTCATTTTGCTTAAAATCCATCATTGGATAAATGGCTATAAGTTACTCTTTTCCAGCTTCAATTCCAATCAGACGGCCTGCAGGCAGTACACTGGCGATGCGGGATCATAATCAAATCTCAGTTAATACCAAACCTCTTCAGATCAGATCATTTTCCAAGAATAAGGTTCTCTTTGTTTTATCAGTGTGTAATGTTATTAGTTGATGAAGTTTTGATGAATCTTTCTGGTTAGGTTTTCGAAGATCTGTCAGCAGGTATTGTGTGTTATAGAGATGAGAATGGGGATGTAACATGTGAAGGATTTGATGAGGGTCCTCGTTTTCACCACCAACTATCGAGGTTTACTTGTAATTCAAGGTACAAACCAAACCAATAATTTTACAATGTTTTTCTTGTTTACTTTATGTCCTCTTGAACTCTGGAGTTGTTGTACGCAGTATTAGACACAAGATTTTGGAATTACTTTTATCTTTATTAGTGTACTACTAAACAATCAATAGAAGCGCTGGATTGATTGATGTGTAATTGCAGAGACATTGAGATTGTTGAGCTTCTTCTGAGATGTTGGGATGCTGCTGATTTCAAAGGGATTTAATGATTTACGTTCTCCTGCACTTGCACTGATATTTGTCATGTGTACAACAACATATTTTTTCAATCATTCAATTAGAAACTTCACATTCCAATTGTATCTGCTCGAATTTCAATCAATGCACAAATTCCAGGATATGCATCTATTAGAGTGAATGCACAGAAAATGTTCCATCATCTGATAAGAATAGAAAATAGAAACATTTTGCACAAAACTTGTACTGATATATTTCTATATACGTACAAATTCAATAAAAAGTTAAACTACCAAAGACAAAGTACAAAATCTATCCCATATTGATGGAGAGAATTTCAATTTCCACAGAATTATTTTTTGGGGAAATTGCAACAGCAGTCCCTATTCTTTTCAATTTTTGCAGGCTTTACCCTAACTTTCAATTTGTGCCACCAATAGTCCCTAATATTTCAAAAATGTGCATCTGGAGTCCAAATAGAGAGAATCAGTCCACTTTTCTATTAGTTGATCAAAAAAATATTTTGACCAAGTTTAATAAGTGCAAAATGATAACTTTAAAATTAACACAATAAAAAAAAACCCAAAATAATCTAAAAGAATAAGAAAAAATATATAAAAAGGTGTTCTTCTTCCCCACCCCAACCCTGTCCCTAAAAACAAGCTGCCATGGTCAACACCACTGTTGGCCAACTTCAACGCCACCACTAGCAAACAGAAATCCAGTAAAATAATTAATCCGGCAAAAAATAATTAGTGAAATTCCCCCAACGGTGACTCGTCTTTTGACCACCGTAACCCAACCAAATCTGATTACAATAAAATTTGACCACTGTAAAACCAAATGGTGCAACCCCAGTAGCCCTTCAATTTTGGTAACTCAATAACCTTTTAGCCCCAATTTTTGGTAACCCACCAATTGAAGGCTTTTATCAAAATGGTGTCAGAGAAGAAAACGGTTTTCGCAAGCGCATTGCGTGCGAACTGTAAGAATGGGTTGCATAATTTGTTAAAAATGTTAGGGGCCGCTCTACAATTTTCCCTTATTTTTTTGTATCATCTGACAGAATTTGAAAAGAGAATCCAAATGGAAGGAGCTTCTTTCAAAAGGATTGAGCAAAAAATGAGAATAAATTGCATGCACGAACATTGATAACATAGTAGGAAAACAACAGAGTCATTCTCTTCACATATATCCGTCTAGGAGGTGACCATTGATCTGGAACCATCAAAAAATAGGCATTTCCATGTATACTAACCTTTACTAGATCTTAAGTGGGAACACAATTTGACCTTGGCAGTTGTATTTGTAAGTGCCGCTGTTATTAAGGAGTTATAAGGAAGTTCGGGACGAGAGGCTCCTTCATCAGCAAAGCCTATTATAGATTTATTTTATCCTGGCTTCTAAACACCTCTGAACATGGAATTTGTTACAATCCCCAGCTTCCAATGTTAAGATTTGGGGTCCATCTTAATAAGGTTGACCTTATTAAGATGGACCCCAAGTCTTAACATGGTATCAGAGCCCATTAAGTTCCAACGAGCGATTCGATCCGATTAAGTCTCTAAAAATGAGCACACGGATTTCAAGATTGGTCTGCTCAAACGAGCTACCATCTTGCGGGGGCATGTTAAGGGAATATAATCCCACATCGGTAAAATACCGAAATAATGACCAATATATAAAGGATTGGGACACTCCTCTTAAAAAGGTTGACCTTATTAAGACGGACTCCAAGTCTTAACATCCAAGATGAGAGATGGTCGATTGATATTCAGAACAAGTGTTATTTCTTGTGCTACAAGGTACTCTTGTGCATATCTAGAGGTGGCAATCGAGCTGAGCAGCTCGGCCCCTCGAGTTGTAAAAAGGAGGCTTGTGGATGGCTCAGGCTCGTGTTTGGACAAACTCAAGTCGAGCAGGCAAGCGACGAACGACTCGTGGGCTCGTCTCGTGATGAACAATGACCAAAACGATCACTTTTTTAAAAAGCGACCATTTTGGTCGCTGTAATACTTTAGTGACTATTCAATGATCGTTGCAAATGGTCATTGAAGTTTGAAAAGTGGTCATTTTGGCCGCTTAAATTTTTTCCTTTTTTTTTTTGGCTCTATAAGTACCCCAAATCATTTCCAAAGTTCTTCACAAAACATTCTAACAAAAATTCTCACCCTCTTCCACATTCTACACAATCTACTACATTCATTTCTAATTTTTTACCTTCAATTTCAATTTTTCAATATCGATTATCAATTTACTTTACCAAACTAAAAGTTTACTTACTATACACTATACATATACAAAATGTTGGGATCACTTTAAATTGATTCTAACAGGTCATTAGGAGTGTCAATTTAGCTCGTCGACTTAGCCGCCCGTGGCTCATCCTAAAAAAAGCCATTGAGGCCCATTTTGGGATGTCAGCTTATGTCAGGGGCTTTTTTGGCCCTGATGAGCCGACCCCTGAATTAAAAATAAAAGGCAGCAAGGCAACAACAAGTTGCTTGTAAAAGGTAGAAAATATTATTATAAAAAAAATTGAGCCTACTCGGCTCGGGCTCGAAAAAAGGTCGTATCATTTTACTCAAGTCGAGTTCGAGCCTCTAGTTTCAGTTCACGAGCCGACTTTACTTAGTGCGTTAACATCCTTACGGGTCGTGTGGTCGATGGAGTTGCAGAGACTAAAGTAGTTTGTAAATAACATCAACAACGATTGGCATGATAGAAGGGTACTGGTACCACCTGCCTGAACCATCACTACAAAATATGTACGGCCAAACATGGACTTCTTGTTGTCGATCAAACACAACTACAATTTAGTAGTTCAATTATTGGTTCTACTTCTACGACACTTTGCACGTGGATGTATTTAGAGGCAAAACTCGAAGGAGAATGGTAAAATTTGTTACTAGTGCTAAGTTGCCTCTAGCAATAATAGACAANTTTTGGTCCTTCTTCGGCTCTTTTCTCCTGAATTTCACAATTTCCATTGAATTACCTACAATACATAAATTTAACTGGATTAAATCACAATTCCACCATTTTATCCATGTTTAAGTCATGTTTATGATCCAAATAAGTGTGTAAAAACACACTTATCAAATATATAAATTATATGTGGAATGAATGTGTGCAAATATTAGTCAAGTACCTGTTGTAAATACTTCTCCAACTGATATTAAAGAAGACGACGCTGAAATATTAAATTTATTGGAGGCATTAATATGTATAGATATGATGCAGATACAATATGTTCCTCTGATAGTAGTATGTTTACCACATGTAATCAGACATCGAACATAAATCCAAATGCATTGCCCGTATAATTAATTGAATACTTAATCATAATTCGCCTAATAATAAAATAATTAAAAATGGTTGAAAAGAAATAATTGAATGCTAGCGAAAGTACGAATGACAATGACCAATTGTTTCTGGGATTGCGAAAGACCTATTAATAGCTGTGATTAGTACTGCAGCTCCGGAGCCCACTTTTAGTATAGATAAGAGAATTTCATCAGAGATCAGGAGCCGATTGAAAGAATATATTTTGAAAGTATTAATGTGTGTGAAGGATTGGTAAGATATTCATTTTCAATTGCAAGATAAATATGCAGAAATTGCATGTCGTCAAATAAATGATATTTAATTTAACCATATTAATCAAAATTTGTTATTTTATAATACTATTTTTAATGCTTTTTAAGAAAATTATACATGTAACAAATAGTTCGTGTATAACTGTTAACTTCGCCTACTTGAAATTTAAGTAACCAATCCCAAACATGAATAAAGGAAGAGGGTTTATCCATTACAAAAAAAAAAAAGGGTCGCGAGCTTGAGCCAAATTTCTTCGGTCCACGAGCTTGGCCCCTGAGCAATGAGCCGATGCTCGACTCGTTATAAACGAGCCACGAACTCGGCTCGTGGTGAGCACGAGCCAAGCTCATGGGCATTGCCGCATATTGATATTGGGAAACAAATCTCTCCGCTAGAAAAAAATATCTATTTTTGCTAGACGATCCATTTCCTGGAAATGGGAGCAAATAAGCCACCAGGGAAAAAATCCTATGCTTATATACATTATTGATAATACAAAAAATCTGCACCCGTTGATTCTCGAGCTCGACCGCTGATGATTGACACGAATAAAATATTTAGGACTTGAAACAAAGGCAACGAGATATGACCTTGTCGCCCCTTCGAAATTTAAGTTAGCGATAGGAAAAATATAAGCGTAAGACTATAAATTGAATGTAAAAATCGACCTGAATAATGATCCAATGCTTTATATTTATAGAAGTAGGTAGTATACTCCTAGTGGAATTAATCAATTGAATATCCTTATCTTCAAGAGTCCTACCCGAGATGGATGTTGGACTCGTACTCTAATTGTCGGGTCAATTTAATTTCAATGGTAATATTGTTGAGATAGAATCCTCCTAGACATTGGAGTCTTGGGTTGAGATGATTGGATAGGGTCAGGATCCTAAGGAAATAGAAATCATTTTAGGTTAAGTGAAACAATCTTCAATTTGATCAAGGAAAAGGCTCGAGGAAATCATGTCTTGGAATAGTTCACATAACTCGAGGACATATGCTGAGGATGGTCACCACAAAATGTCGTAAACGTGTAATATTAGGGCTCGAACGTAGGTCTCAAGGACTATTTCGATACCCGAGTATGATGGTAGTGGAATCATGAAAAAGGTGTGCAACTATGAATAAGTAACTAAATCTTTATTGCAATATAATATAGAGCTGTACTACCTGCACATGCCTTTACACATGGGCTATCACATGGTACAGGGGCTATCACATGGGCCTTTTCCTATAATTTAAGATTTGTCCAACAATATCATAATGCAACAAGTGTTTATTTCCTTTCTGTTAATGTTTTCCATCAACAAAGTTCATAATCCACTTATTTTTATGGTCAAAATCATTTATAAACATTCCCCCAACAAATTATTAAACTCTCTC